CGTCCGCAAATGCGAATGGGGTTACACCCCTTTCCGTATTGTTGGCTCACAACCCCGTCATATGCCAAGTTCCATAGCGTGGGTCCTAGGACCGACCCCTGTGGCACTCCAGCCGTCATGTCAACCACTACTTTTTCTACCACAATTTTCCTCTCTGACAAATAGTCGGAGACCAAATTCATCAAGTACCTCGGACACCTTCTCTCTCGTAGAGCCTTCATTACCTCTTTCCATTTTAATGTGTTGAAAGCATTCCGGACGTCAAACAACAGTAAGATTGCCCACCTCTGGTTAACCCCTACCCCGCGTAATTCCCGGAAGACTTCTATTAGCGCATCCACCGTGTTCCTGGTCTTTCTGAAGCCGTACTGCCAAGGGTGACAGCCCGCCTGACTCTTCAATCACTGTGTCTATTCGCCCTCTTAAGAGCCTCTCGTATAATTTACCTATGCACGACAGAAGGCAAACAGGTTGATACTTGTCTTCCTTCTTTGGGAGTAGCACGAGCTTTGAGATCTTCCAATTTGCCGGAAATCGCTGAGTTTCAAGCAGTACATTCATGTGGTTCAAAATCCACGTCGGCTCTATACTGCCAATGCGTTTCACCGCTTCTGGTGGTATTCCATCGAGTCCCGGAGCCTTTCGTGTCTTTAGGGCACTCAACGCTTCGTTGAGTTCGTCTATTTTAAAAGGTACAGCTCGCTCAGCTTCGGCGTCCCACTGCACTCCATGCCAATGGCCGGGTGGAAATATCTCTCGGGTAACCTCAAGCTTCCTGTCCAGTGGCATCTCATACAGAGGGTACAGCTTGAGCTGGTTCATTACGATTTTGTACCCCTGACCCCAAACGTTCTCATCCAACTTGTCACACAGTTCTTTCCAGTGCCTCTTCTCGGCTCGGATCATCCTGTTCAGTTCCTTATTTCGCGCATTGTATACCATATCCATTCTGCTAGCTTCGGTTACTTCTCCTCTACCTCTTGCCCTCGTAGCCTGTCTTCTGATGACAATGCATTCCTTCCTCTTATTGGCGATCTCTTCGCACCACCAATAAGGCATTTTTCTTTTTTCATCTACCCCGTTTATGCAATTTCTCATAGTCTCTCTTATTATTGATTCAAGTCCCTCCGCCGATGGCGGTTGGCATCTTCTCCTCTCTATCAACCATCTAGAATACTCATCAAACGCTAGCCAGTCCGTTCTATCTTCACATCTGCTTCCTGTTTGGTTCGCTGATGACTCCACGTTGGTAGTCCCTAATCCGACGATCGAAAAGCCAATGTAGCGGTGTTCTGTAGCGGTGTCATCTGGCAGCATGGTCCAGTCTCTAATTTTCCTCGCCGCATTCTGAGTGGCACAGGTGACATCGATATATGAATGCGAATTTTCCCTCACGAACGTTGATTCCTGACCATTATTTAAGACTACTAAGTCCAGAGTTCATATCCATTCCATAAGCATTTGTCCGCGAGCGTCCGTTCTGGGAGAACCCCACTCCGCCGCTTTGGCGTTGAAGTCCCTCAGCACTACACACTCCCTTCCCAATAATCTTTCCTTATTCATAATCTCATCCAGTCTACTTTCATAATTCTCCACTGTACAATTTGGTGAAATATAGCAACATACCACATTTACTCCCTCCACACGTATCGTTACAAATCCCTCATGCGTATCAATACCATATACACTCAGTTTTCTATTAAGTATCCGCACTCCTACTACGCCCGACGTATCCACGAACCATTCCCTACTGCGCACTAACGTGGGGTTTGGCTCCGCTGCTACCAGGATATCAATTTCTTTTTCGGTTGCGGAGACCACAGCGAGGTCGTGAGCTAGCCTAGCCGTCCCAACATTTGTTTGCAGCACTCTTAACACCCTTACACGCTTACTCCCCATTTTGTCGCTTAGTCAGTAACCCCCTACCCTTCTTCCACCTTCACCTCTTGTTCTTCTGATAATTCCCCTGAATTTGGGACACCAAGAGGACGTAGATATATGACCTTCCTCGTCACAATTAAAACACTTTACCGTGTTGCTTTGACACTGGGATTGCACATAGCCCTTTATCCCACACTTCCAGCACCCCCCTTTTGCTTCTCCCTCACAGTCTCTTGCTATTTGGCCATGTGCTTGGCATCTATAGCATCGTGTCACTTTTACCATCTTCTTTACCGTGACGTGTACCATCCCGATCTTTATTCTTTCTGCCACTAAAAGTCTTCTGGCTATGTTCTCTCCACCTCTACATAACAAATTCTGCTTTCTCCCCTGTTTGTCCTTATTTTTCCAACTATTTCACATGCTTCCTCCCTACCAGCAAATTTCTCCACCGATTCGACAATGTCTTTTTCTGTGGTTAGGCCATCCATGTCGGCCAGCATCAAACCCTTCTTTACTCTTCCACCTTTTGCCACTACTCTTGTTGCACATCCTTGTCTTGATGCTACTAAATTCCTGACTTGTTCCGCCATTTTCCTGCCTCCATTTACTTACAGGGCCACGTCTTCTTGTCTGGTTTGTCTCACCTTGTTTATGACGACATCCTCTCTTTCTCCTAGCTCTTCCCTTAACTCTTTTACAAGTTCAGCATACGGCTTGTCCTTCGGTTTTGTGATGATTACCATCCCTTTCTTTTCTGTGGCTACTATTTGCCTTTCCTTAATCGTTTTGCCGTGTATTGTTGCCGTTACCTTCTTTCCTCTTGCTGCCCATTTCTAGCACTTTTCTTGATTTTTCCACTTCTAGTGCTGCTGGTGCTACTATCCCTATCTGCTCTCTATCCATTCTTTTCATACGGTCGAATAGCTTCCTGGCTGCTGCCAAGAATTTAACACCCATTGGTTCTTCTCCTCTCCTTTGCTTCAGCTTGTGGACAAATTTTTTTGATGTTCTCTCTCTCCCATTTTCCTCTACTGTACATGTTATCTGAGACATAGTCCCAATTCCTCCATTTTCATCTTCTTCCACGTATAATCCGGGGAGGTCTGGGTACCTTGCACTAAAATCCCCCCTCACTCTTGCGTCAGCAGCATCCTCTGTTACCAAGATTGCCACATCGTCCGGTGCCTCCAAAATTCCTTTTTCACAGACGGTTACTTTCTCATAAACCTCCTCTGGCCATTCCTGATCTAGTACTTCACTAATTTCTTCGGTGCTTTCTGTCGTATCCATTTTTTATATAGTTCCTCAATCCTTTTTCTTTGTAATTCTGGGTTCTCTTCCCAATTTGCTTCTACCTGGGTCCCTACGCACCTCGTAGTTGTTGCTACAGCTATTTTTGTTTGCGTCCCTATTGTTGTTAAACATTTTCTTATGCCTTCCCTTTTGTCAATATCCTCTGTAGCACTATACATTAGCTCTCTGTTTTTTTCCATTTCGCACCAAATCTGCCGTACCTTTGCGGCTCCCTGTTTTATCTCATTCTTTGCATTTGCCACCGCCTTTGTTAGGTTCACTAACTCGTCGATGCATCCCTTCATTCTTGACATTCCTTTCTCTGTTTTACTTCTATTTAAATCTATCTTACTTTCATTTTTGTTTCCACCATCTCCCATGCCTTTCTCTCCGTGCGATTTCCTTTTCTTTTTTCTGTTAGTGTTGGTCGTCCATTTACTCTCGCCATTACTATCTCCCGTTTCGTTTTCACTGCCATTCTCCTCCACTGTTTCACCTATGTCCTCGTTTTCTCCTTCTTTCTTCTTCTTTTGCTCATCATTTTTCTCCCCCGGCGGTCCTTTTCCTCCTCTTCCGCTAATGTCGCCAGCCTCTCTTCGCCTATATCCTCCATAGACTCTCCTACCCCTATGCTTACCTTCTTTTTTATTAAGTATTTTTCCATTTTTCTTCCCACGAGTTGGGTAGATTCTTCGGTCCAACGGGGCAGTGCGCTCATACTCCGCCAAGGCTATAATCCCCTTCGGTTCGCCTCCTCCTTAGGGCATCGCTTGAGACCCACTTTTCCCCTTGGGCCATGCACCCCTTCGGCACGATGGTGTTACATCTTGAGGTTAGGGTGGCGATATATTAGAATGATGCATAGTCGCCTGTTCTATGCATATCCATTTGTTCTCAGTGGTTTTTTTCACTGGTTTTTATATTAGTGGAGGTTTTCTCCTCGGGTATAGGTTTGGGTATCAGGACATGTATGATGGGTAGGGGTGGGGATCGTATGACACAGGGACAGGTTACGAATTTGGGTAGTGGACAGCGGACAGCTGCTCCATTTAGTGGCCTTTTACGACAATCGGGAGAAGCCGTGAAGGTATTCTACTTGAGTGGCCCGCCTTCACACGGGGAGGAACCTGCATCCTGGTATATTTAAAAAACTGCTGGTGATCCCAGTTTTTCATATTTTTATAATAATTAAAATTACCTCTTGTCTTTCTGTTCTGGTTAATGGGCCTTCGTTTGTATCGACGTTGTCTTTAATTTCGAAGACTCAGTGCTGCTCGAATACAAAGTATCAGTGCCACTGCACCTAACAAAGGCCGAGCATTTTCATTTTCCATTCTATTAATTTTCAAGCAAAAATTAATACCAAACCAAAACAAAAATGTAACGTTAGAAATTTAGATGTGATTTTTAACGCCAACCGAAAGTTTATAAATGCAGTGTATAATTCGGTGGTATAATATAGCAGCCAGCGTCAAGATCAACGGTGAACGCCAACATAAAGTTTATAAAAATCTGCCTTCAAGTTCAAAATTACGAAAAGGTATAACTCGTTACTAAATGGAAGAGAGGCCGAATTCATTGAATGGGGTATGTGAGAAGAAACTAACTTCATAGTTGTCTTGTCTTTCAGTCTTTCAAATGTGACATTTGTTTTAACCGCGTTCAGTGATCAGTGTTTATAAAAAATATGATAAATTGTATCAAAGTATAGTTTATTTAAACGATAAGCAAATAACCGGTAGTTTATTATTAATAGTGTGTAATAGTAAAATAATTTGATTCTGGTTGTGTGCATTAACCGTCTTTGTTAAGATAACCTCAAAATGTCTTTGGATGTAAAGAAAATTTTAAATTTTCCTCAAGGATGTATTGAATACATTCCTCAGTTTGAAAATGAAACAATGTCCAGCAAGGGTACGTCAATTTGCCATTATATATAACTTTTAAAATGTAGAGAATATAAGAAGGTGATTAAAACATACCTTTTTTAGATTTGGACATATTAGGTGGTATACTACATGATACACGACATGTATGGCATGCTAAGGGTCCTACATTGGAAGTTAGAAATACAAAAACGGGTTCAAAAGTAGGTGCTTGGGTATTTGGTGGTATATTGAAAGATTCCAATACTACAATAACATGTGTTGAAGAAATACCAAGACCCAATGGCCGCATTTCACTTTTAGCTGTTGGAATTGATTGTACTATAAGTGGAGGGATTATTTGCATCTTTGATATTTTTAGTTCTAAAGTGTTGAGGGCAATACAAGTTAAAGAAAAAGTATTTATGAAAGTATTGTAATTAGAAATAATGTGCCTAATGATATTATTTTTAGCTTTCATATCTACATGTAATAGATCCTGGTATCAAAGAGTTAAATTTATCAGGGCCATTGAGAAATTTTGATGGAATATTGGCTGCAGGATTAGATGGAGGAGATGTAATTATTGTAGATGTGTGTCGGCAGATTTGTGAGGAGTCTTTACACTCAATTTCAAAGAGGGATGAGCTTAACCCTTCTCAGCTAGTCATTTTGACTTTACGACATATGCCCAAAATTGAACAATATAAAGAAGGATGTGTAAGGGATGGTAATCATCTTGCAATTCATCTAAATGCTGTTTTTAATAGTACTACTGAACATTTTGTACTCAAAGGGCCTAAAGGTTAGTAATAATTTCAAAATAATTTAATTTTTTTTTCATGACACTTAAAATAATGAAAATAATATGGTTCATGTTAGAATGTAAACTAGGGTTGTAAATAGAATGTTCTTCATAAAACACCAAAATACTTGTACTATAGAGCAACTGAAAATTGAAATTACAAGTAAAGCCTTAAGCTAGTTGAAATATATAGACTAACCTGACTAAATATATAAAAATCAGTTTCTCTATGTCCTAAATGAATAATATGGAAAGCCAGGAAGTTCAAATAAATTTTGTGTTTGTTAAAAATAATAATGTATTACATTTATAACTAAATAAAAAAATGTTATCAACCTACAATCTATTCTTTAAAAATAATATGAACCATTATTAGGTTGCTTATGATATTAATTGGACAGAATGAAATTATAGGGTACAGTTAGTCATTTTCTAACAGGTATTCTTAAGTTAAAGTTGATTTTATGTAATTAAATGAAATATCTTCCAATAAAGTGGGCCCAGGAACTATATTGACAATATCATTTTAAAGTCATGTACTTTAAAATGTATAATATATAATCTGAATTGTCAATATAAACGAGTCAGATAAAATTAAATTAATTTATATTTTGAGAACAATTTCTGAAATGAAAATCGAAACATCAAAATGAACTTATTTTAAAGTAAAATTGATTATTATTCTGGCCAGAGTCCATGTGGACCAGTCTCAGTTATTGGTAACACATAGTATCATAGTATAGTGAAATGAACACTACAGTTTTTATGTGTAGGACATACAAGTCTTGTTTTTTACTTTTACCTAGATAGTGACTCATGGGTTGAAAAACATTATGGTTATCATAATTTATTTCATATCATTGTATACTGCATTTAAAAGCAATGTCGCAATAGATGTGGTCTTATTAAACAATATAAAGAGTTTTCAAAGTATTAGTATTGGTAAAATTAGAAGTATATCTTTAATGAACTCGATAATCTTTTTTAACAATTTTGTATATTATGTTCTATTACTTATATAGTTTTTCAAGTTTCTACTTTTATTACATGTGGTAACTTCCATACTTGCTATGAATGGGCATTGTCTCTTAATTTTAAACTAAAAGACAACTAAGGTTTTCCAACAACAAGTAGTGAAAAACTGCTGAAAATAATAGAAAACTTCTACTACACTGCAGTAGTCAACAAATACTTGACTGTCAACATCATGAGTGAAAATGACCCAACCAAGTATAAGAGCTTATGCCGGATATAACTCAAGAATAAATCTTCTCTTCTTCTTCAGATGCAAATCCACTAATGGATGTTAGCGATCACATTTTCCATTAACTCTCTATTTCTTGCAATATGTATCAGAGATTGTATGTCGTTAATCCCTGTCCATTGCCTTATGTTTCGGAGCCAGGACATTTTCTTGCGTCCCATTCCTCTTTTGCCTTCAATTTTACCCTCGATTATAAGTTGGAGGAACTGGTATTTTTCATTTCGCATGATGTGACCTAGATACACTGTTTTCCTTTTCTTGATGGTTTCGAAAAGTTGGCGTTCTTGGTTTATTCTTTTAAGGACATCTATATTTGTGATTTTCGCTGTCCATGGTATTTTTAGGATACGGCGATAAAGCCACATTTCGAAAGCTTCCAATCTGTTTATATCCCTCGTTTTGAGTGTCCAGCCCTCTACGCCATATAGTAGCACTGACCATACGTAGCACTTAGTAAACCTTAGTCTCAGTTGAAGATCGAACTCAGAACAAGTCAGTACCTTCTTGAATTTTACGAAAGCTTGTCGAGCTTGCTCAATGCGACATTTTACTTCCCTGTCCGATGCCCAGTCTTCAAAAAGCCACGATCCCAGGTATTTAAATAGGATAAATAATAAATAAATAATAAATAAAAAATAAAATAAGGTAAAGAATAAATCACAAACTCATTAGGAGAAATTAATAAATAAAAAAGACCTGGGCTAAGACAGTGTAGTGATAGACTGTAATATTTGAAGCAGAAACACCATTAAAATGAATTTAATACTTAATTTATATATGTCTTGAAAATGGAATAATCCTGTATAGACTGATAAACCTCCTTTGACACTTGTATAAGCTATTCACAGTTGCGGGACAAATGATCATCTTCAAGCAATTAAATTTCTGATAGAAAAGTCTGAGGAATACCATAAGGCCCTTAGTCTTGTTTTTATCAATTTCTATAAAGGATTTGATACAGTAGAACTAACATCAATAATAGGAGCACTGGAACAATGTAGAACTGATTACAGATACAATAAGCTACAGATAAGTAGAATACAATACAGTAATTCTATCCCAACTGTAAAACTTCATAAGGCAATAGGTAAAATTAAATGATAAAATTTCACCAAAACTTTTTATAACTGTCTTCGATAGTAATTTCGAATGAAATCACTATCTTGGGAAAACAAAGGTATCAATATTGTCAGCGAAAGATTAACTAACCTTAGTTTGTAGATGACAAAACATATCCATGATGAATTATTAACAGATTCATAAGAAGTAGGCCTCCGAATAAATGAAATCTGCATTTCTGAAAGGAAATCCCAAATAATAACAAATCTAGTGCTCAAACAAACCACCATTAGCAGAACTGAATTTTGTGGTTAGTAAATGATAGAAACGGCTCGTTTAAAATTAAACAATGAAGAATGCATAAATTTACTTTTAATCCATGGAGAATATATGTAATACATTTTGACTGTTTTCAATAAAAAGTTAACAAAGCAAAGCCTTTTGTTGATATAAATGATCATATAATTAATGTTCTTGGTTACTATGCTGCTTATCTCAAAACGTCATTACATGGTTCAGCAACTAAAAAAAAAAAACAAAAATTTCATCCCTATTCTTACACCCCAGTTCAAAGTATAACTCCTTCTGCTCCAGGCTTGTTTTACAAGATGATATAGTTCTTTACCAATGCTAATATTTTTGAAGAACACTTTTTTTATAAAAATATATATATATATTAAAACTAATACTCAACTCATTTTTTTTTATAGAAAAAATACTTGTTTTTTTATATTTTATTTGTATTAGTTTATTAAAATATCCACATGTTGATGTATATATATATATATATATATATATATATATATGATGTGCTAGAATATCCACATATGGATATAAGGCAACACCTAAGTAACTAACTAACTAACTAAATAGAAATAATGAGACAATATTGAAAAGAATATTATCCAACAATACAAAAGATAAAGGAATTTTAAAGACACAGAAAAAGAAAGTAGATATAATTCTTAATTGTGATATTCTTATATTCTTGAAAGTAGGCCACTAAACACAGTCTGGGTTGATCAGGAGAATGCATGCAACATTTTCTTGTTGATTTTTGCTGATGAAGTTTTTGAAGTTGACTGCTGATTGCAGCTTTCTGCCATTTTTCTATAGCAGGCGCTATACTTTATAAGAATGTCTCTACAGCAAGCTTTTGTATATTTATACAAGGAAATTGGTTTATTATGTGCCCTGCTGTATAGAACCTTTGAATTCAACAGCATTTGATAAATTCAGTGTAAACCAACTTGGTGGACCACATATAAGATTTTTGCAGAGGGCTCTATCTTGACCAGCTGCATCAACTGAACCCATGTTTTGGTTATAAAATTCCACGTGCCTTGGCTTATTGTAGGGGGTTACAGTTTCCCTAACTAAATATCGCTGTTTGTTACAAAAACCTGCCAAATTTTTGTTGGTCAATATATAAACATCTTTTTTATCTTCAAAACACAGTAAAAGAAATATGTCCTTGCTAGCAAAACCCGCCAAATTTGTGCTGGTCAACATATAAACATCCTTTTTATCTTTGAAACACTAAAAGAAGCATATCCTTGCGAGCAAAACAAGACTAGTGCATATCTAAGTGAACTTCTATTAACTGTTTAGGTACACCTCTATTGACCCTGATAGTTCCTGTTGAGATATGTGTTTTTGGATAATAAGAATTCACAAAGACGAACTGAGGTATAAAAGTAAAACCTTGAAATTATTGTGGACAAAAATTGTCCACAATAATTTCACGGTTGTTATTTGGAATGTGTTGGGCAAGATGCGCAACTATTATCTCAAGAAAAACTAAGCCTGCCTGTTCCGGCTATATAAGAAAGGTTGTAAATGTCTTTACCAATTTACACACAAAAGTTGTATGGATTGACGAAATTTTGACAATGTTCTCTTATTAGGGCCATAAAAACTTTTAATCTGCTAAGAGGAGCTTCCTGTTTTGGTAATTTAACAGGAGAAAATCTAATAAACTTTAAAATTTGCAAAAATCCATTTCGACTCATAACTGACTTATGAAACAGTGGTGGGCCACAAATAAAATATCTGAACTGTAATACAGTAGAATCTCGATTATCCTTCAGGGCACCGGACCAAGGGTACGACAGATAATCGAAAAGACAGTTAACAGAACATAAAAAAAATCATAGTATAACTCTCAAATTTTATTTATATGTTTTATTTGACAATATCAGAGTTATTTACGTTAGTGCAGTCGAATCAATTTGGATTTAAAATATTCCGAAATCTTTGTTTGTTTTATTGTTACTTCACATTTTGTAACAGCTGCATTTCTTAACATGTTGCATGCGGATGTCTGATTCTAAGACTTGTGCTCTGACCTGAAACTTTTTAAATAAAACTCCTAAAAAATAATTAATAATTGTTTATTAATAAATATTAATACTAAATTATAGTGAAACAATGAAAAATTTTTGCATGGCTCACATGTATGCCACCAGGTATACAATAAAGGTACTTGCACCAGGAACGGATGGCGCACATGTATGTCGCAGGGAGAAAATTTAAAATATATGTTTTTTACTTGTATACAAACAAAAGAGGCTAATATATTGTAAGTAAAATATTTTTAGGTCTTGTGAAAATTTGCAAAACATGTCCCAACACATAAGCCTGTTTTTTCCTGACACATAAGGCAATGGTATAATGATAGAACTCTTTTTTTATTTCGGGCGCAGTATCGGCATTGGTTAAGGCACCTTGTGGCTCACATGTATGCCATCCGCACGTAATGTGTTAATAGATGTAAAATCATCAAATCTACTTCATTTGCTCTTTCTTGCCAAGAATACCACTCAATGAATTGTTGTATGTACGATGTGGCTTCTCTAACCAAACGCTGCTTCCTTTGAATGGAGGTTCGTCATTCAATTTCGTGTTGAAAAACAGTGCTTTTTCGGCAACAATTGGTCCAGAAAAAGGAACACTTTCGCTTCTTTTTTGAATGAACCACAAATACAGAACTGTGTCGAGTAATTCATTTGTGGGTTTTTTAATTTTTTTACGATGTTTCACACGGCCATCCAACGATTCAATTTACGAAGCACACTATTTTTTTTTCCAATTGACAAAACAACACGTTTTCTTTTTGATGCTCCAGATGTGGAAGGCTCCATTTTTCAAAACTTAATTCATCAAGCGACTAAGTGACACAATCAATGTTCTAATTTGAATTAAACTGAGTTATGGTGACACACGACTGTAAATAATTATTATTTGCTGTGGTTTTTTATTTTCGGTGTGTGATTCTAAAAATAGAACTCTAAAAGCACAGTATCATTTATCATTACCTGTTTAAATTGAAATTTAATCCAGAGCTCTGAATAACAACAAAAATGATTTACATGAAAAAATGCGTTGGTGGCATAATTGCACATGTACATTTCAACGAATTTCGTTTGGCTTACGCTCAAACAAAATGAATTGGTGACTAAATTTTTACTTATGTAGTCAATATAACTTATGTATGGCATAAGTTATACTGACAGTTAACAGAGGTGACGATTAATAGAGAGACGGATTATCGAGGTTCCACTGTAATCTGAAAACTGTGGACATTTAACCACTCCGGTTAGAAAATACAGGGCTAAAAATGTATATATTTCATCTATTGCGACTGTCGTGTATTCTTCGCCCTATCATTGGTTCATTTAGAAGGTTTGTTTACAATAGTTGGACTTGGGAAAGCTTCAAACTAGGTTACAAGATCCATAAATTCTTCGAAAACTATGGCTGGGTGAAAATCGTATTCAGATTGATACTCATTTACAAGTCTAAGGGTTTGATCATTGAATAGATCCACTACTGATCTCCAGCCTCCGTCCATTTCAATTACAGGAATAACATTCTCCTCATCTATGAATGTATAATCAGTCTCTAAATCACTGGATTTATCTGATTATTGATAACTTAAATCACTATCGAAATCGAATTCCATTTTATGCGAAGCTTGTGTATTTATTTACCCTCGAGTATGTACTCACTCGTCCACATCTAAATTAAGACTAAATGGCCAACACCCTAGAAGAGCGCGAAAACATGAAAATAATAACGTCGTTGCTTTAGCACCACCGCGATAGATAGAAACATTGACCTTGAACACGGTTTCAACTTCCTTTCCCAACCACTGCAATGTGTAGAAAAATCATTTACCACCACATCCACCTATACTATATGTCGCTTACTATGCGTTTACTGAAGTATTATGATTATTTGTCAGCATCGCCAAGCATTTCGCTTTTTATATTACTTAATTGAATATCCATATGTGGATACAGTGGTGTACACGACGGTACCTAAAAGTATCCATACGTGGATAGTTTGGAGCAGAAAGGGCTCAGGAAACAGACTATAATAAAAAAATAGAATTTGTAACGATAAAATGTCAAGATAATCAAGGAAATCTCAATATATTTAAAGTAAATTTATGCAATCTTCGCCGTTTCTATCACTTTGTAAAAGTGTCAATAATCACAAATAATGACAATAACGAATTACCCCGTTAAACCACAATTATCTCCAAAATATTAAATTTAGTTGTAGAGAACTTTAATGCTATTTGAAGGATAATTTTTCGACTGTTCTAAAAACCATTCAAATTTCGTCATTTTGTATCATGTGGAACAATTTTACCCAATCATGTCAACATTAGACTGATAATTTTTCGACTGTTCTAACAACCATTCAAATTTTGTCATTTTGTGTCATGTGGAACAATTTCACCCAATCATGTCAACATTAGACTGATAATGGCATTCAGTGCAATTTTCAATCCCTATGACAACACGATCGAGTTTGACAACTTCATCCAAATAAATTTCCAAATGTCACGTTTCGGCAATGAGAATGTTCAAAGTATAAATGCGCTAATCAAAGAAAAAATTCCGAAGAACAACAATTGCTAAAAATTACTGGTCATGGCAATCAGAATTATATAAAACCATACTTGAATCTCGATCAAGAACACCACAACAAGATTATAAATATGCGTGGTAATAGATCTTCTATAGTAGAGAACAGCAACGAATCTAATGTTAACTTAAATTTTAATAATTGTACTTTCACTAACTGTACTTTTAATAAATAAATGTTTCGTTATGTTGAGTTATGATTTTTTTTTTTTTCGAAAAATTATCCGCCGAATATCCCTCGGACATTGATGAATGCCTCATAATTTCATGACAAATTTCTCAAGCTCGTTGCCTTCGGCTTCGTGCTGTTACCAAGGAACGAGCTTTCGATTGTCATGAAATTATCTCGTCTGTTATCAATATCCTAGGGATATTACTACTGACAATTGATTTCTTTTTTCATTAAAATTATAAAATACAGGGTGTTTTATTTAAAATTATTGACTTCCTGTAGTTTGAAGTTTAAAGAAATGGCATACCATTTGTGAACACTCTGTATTTAGAAATTCAATTTCGATATAAATTTCTAAAAAAACGTTACCTACTCTTTGTATGTGAAGGTTTTCAAGACATTATGACTGGATGAAATATTATCTTTAAAAAATTTGTCTGTCAAATTTTTTTAAAAAAGATGAATAACTGAAAAAATATGAAGTTTTGACCTAAAAATTTTATCTAATTCAATAATATACAGGGTGTTTCATTTAAAATAATAAAGTTGTTTGTCAAAATATTTTGTTTAAGTCCGCCATAACTTGTAATCTCCTTTTCATAAAACCAATTTTCATAAATATCTTGTAAGTAGTTTCCAATATGTAGATAGCGTAAATAGTGTGTATTCCAATATATATATATATATATATATATATATATATATATATATATATATATATATATATATATATATATAATATATATATATATATATATAATATATATATATATATATAGTGACATTTTGCCACTCCTGCCACCCTATAGTTATGCCACTGACTACTTTAGTATTTACATTTGAACTTCCAAATTATGGAAATTATTAATACAAATTTTGTTTTCAAAATATAATTTAGATCTTCTTATCTGGAAATTGAAATGTCTAATAATAAAGAAATTATAATTTGTACGTTATTCCCGAAATAATATTTGAAAACTATGATAATTTAAAAAGTGTTAAAAACATATATTATAAATAAAGTAGATGTAGATATTTTATTGCAGCAGAGTAATCAATTTGTATGTATATTTATGAAGAAACAATTTCAGTTTACTAAAATAGTTAATTTGGTTTTAGATGATGACAGAATCCATGTGAATAGAGCAGAAGTTTTAACCAGTGCACTCTATTACTGCTCTCAGTTAACATCTCTTTTAGTGGGTTATAATTTTGGAGCTTTTCAACTATGGGATTTGACAACTCTAAAATTAGTTTATACCTCACCAATATGTGAGGAGCATATTCCCATTACCAGATTTGCATTGCTAGAGCCTACAGATGATCCTAGAGCATTTTGCTACATTTGGGTTGCATTTGGTAACTCTGAATTATACCAAACTGGATTGCCTTATGCAGTTATGTATTCCCTATGTTATGAATCAAAGGAGTACCAAGAGGGATATGGATATGTATATCAGGATTTTCATTATTGCTCTATAAGGTTTCAAATTCAATTGGGGCAATTAGAAGAGAACAGGTAAGATTTTATTTTATATTTGAAACATATTATATAAATATTGACTGAAAATCAAATAAAAACACATTCATATATTTTATAGTGTGTATGGGAATACTACCATTTAATTAGGAAAAATGATTTCTTAATATTTCAGTTTTGAATCAGTGGTAAAATAGCAACAAAAAGTATTGTGTTTAAGGTATTACATTAAAAAAATTAATTCTCATATCTTTACATGCAATTTCTAAATTAATTTATGCAAGGATAACAAGGTCATTTTGCAAGGATTACTCATAAAATGATGAATATCTTAAATATGTTAACTCCAGTTATTATTATCAAAAATGTCACTTATGAAATAATAGCTACAGGCTCTTTCAATTGCAACCATCACATTTTTACATCCTTTTTACATTTCTCAACATTTTTAAAACACTGCAATATTGGGATATGTAACTGGTTTGAATTTAAAATCCACTAAATATATTAGATGGGAATTTTAACTCTCTATCTATCAAACTGTCTGAGAGAGATAGACAAAAAAACTTAATCCCGAAGAAAAATATTATATAAACACCTATAGTTGAGATATACCAGGTGCAGGTGAATACCTGCAACAATATATATATATATATATATATATATATATATATATATATATATATATATATATATATATATATATATATATATATATATATATATATATATTATATATATTATTTTATTGTATAAAAATATTGAAAAAATTTGCTTGGTTAATATAGAATCTATATATATTTTTTCTTTTTAAATGATTTTTCCTTTTTTTTTATATTATAAATAAATGAAACAGACAGAACAATATGAGTTCTAGTTGATGGGAAGTACAAACATTAATATGTACTACATAAGTTACAGTTACAATAAACCTAAATGATTTGGAGACAAATGCATCAGGTCGATCAGTACTTAACCCATTCGTTGCCGATCACGATATGGTTACATCAGTCAGGTGCCATTCACGCACCAGCGAGTAATATGTCTATATTTTTTACAAGTCGTGTAGTTAGTTAGTTAGGCCTTAACTTTAAGTGAGTGCTGAAGGGTAGGCACTGTGCGAATATTTAATCAACATTATTTTGTACCCGGTTTTGATTTTTTTGTTTTTGGATTTAAGTAGTTATAAAAATGATGACATATAGAGATTAAGAATTAGCAAGACCCTCACGTGCTAAAATAGGTAAATACGATAATAAAAGACCTTAATCTTAGGCATAATTATTAGCAATATTGGAAGAAGAGTTGTCTGATAATGTGGTAGAGGATTCTGATTTGGATTGTAACAGTGATGAAGAGTTTTTACCTAATAATTCAGAGCATTCAGACTTAGAAAACGATATAGATGAACAAATAACTCGATACAGTTTATCAACTAGAAAACATAGAAGAATTGGAATGGAAGAATGATTCAGGATTTATGAATTTTTTTCCTTTTACGAAGGTTGAGAGGTTACTTGAAATTGTTTCAGGAAATGAACCCATTGATTATTTTAGGTAAATATTTTGTTACTAATTTAGTGCCAATATTTAGCTCACTTGCTATGATTTCAGACATTTATTGACTGACCAGGTTCTTGATGAAATTGTTACACAATCAATTAACTATGCTGTTGAATTGTTAGTGAGACCAAATACAAAAGAAAAATCACGTATTACAATGCGGAAAGATGTTACTCGAGACGAATTACTTGTATTTGTGGGATTAATTGTACATGGGGAATATTCGTCTAAACCGGATTCAAGATTATTGGAAAACTGACTATCTATTTAGCTTTAGTGTATTTTCAGACAATATGAGTAGACATTGTTTTCCTTTACTACTGCGATTCTTACAATTTGCCGAAAATCCTCGGGATGGTGAAGTGACTCCAATGGAAAGGTTGTATAAAGTAAGAAAAGTTATTAATTATTTTAACTTCCGAACGTCTCAAATATATTACCCAGGACCTGAACTTTCACTCGATGAATCCATGGTGCTGTGGCGTGGTGGTCAAGTTTCCGCCAATATATATAAAAAACAAACGCCACAAATATGGAATAAAATTATATATGTTGACAACATCTGAAGGAGTAGTATTAAAATTAATGGTTTACACAGGCAGGTTAGATATATATATATATATATATATATATATATATATATATATATATATATATATTATATATATATATATATATATATATATATATATATATATATATATATATATATATATATATATATATATATATATATCCGGTTTTTTAGGTGTTACGCCCGTCCGGTAGGGATCTATGGAGGAGTATCACCAAGCCGCAAGCCCTTATCTCTTGCCGTACTGCTCCACCATAGGCCGATCAGATCCCAGCATATCCTAGTCTAAGCCGCAGATTCATCTAGAATTTTAAACTGCTGCGTTAGACTTTTTGTTTTCAGTACACCGAGCTGGGGCTCGAACCCACATCCACTGAACTATTCGACAGTGAAGCGAATGAGAGGCAGCCGCACAGCCCGCTGAGCTATATGACCGACAGGCCGGTTAGATGATTGTGAAAAAAGGACACACAGAAAAAGTTGTCCTAAATTTAATGGAAGAATTTTTAGGTGTCGGACATAACCTGTCTATGGATAATTATAACTCGTATGAACTAGCAGAGCGTCTTGCATATAAAAAAACGCATTGGACAGGAACTATGCGAGCTAATAGAAAATCATTTCCCCGGGAAGTAAAGGACGAAGTGTTAAAAAAAAGAAACTAGCAGATTATGCGAATGGCACAATGATCTGTAAATGGAAAGATAAAGAGAGGTTGCATTTATTTCCACTGAATATAAGAATGATATGTTGGAAATTCTTACAACGACAAGAAGAAAGTAAAACCGATTCCAATTATCCAATATAATAAATATAAATATGCCTGGTGTAGATAAGCAAGATTAGATGGTTGCATACCATCCGGGAGAAAGAAAGACTCTTATATGGCCTTCGAACATTTTTGGACATATTTTACAGTTGATGTTACTAAATGCCCATCAACTGTACAATAAATATTCCGGATCAACGTCGACAATATACGAGTTTCGCCTGTCAGTAATAAGAGCACTGTTGAAGAAATATTCTAAACCAACAGCACCATGCAGTTCTCATCACATTTTAGACACTTGTCTAATGATATTATTATCATTATCTTAAAGAATTTCATAATTCTGTCAAATTCTTTTACATCACGCGCTAGCACATGATCGGCACTAGTGGTCCGTTTTCTCTCCCGATAATTCCGTGATTAGACAAGTAGATTCGCTGAGCCCATTAATATTTAATCTGATAATGGATGAAATCATAAAGAAAGTTAAAACAAGAAGAGGATATAGAATGGGAGAAAAGGAAATAAGGATAATATGCTGCGCCGACGACGCCATAATAACAGCCGAAAATGAAGATGACCTACAAAGATTAATTATAAAATTCGAAGATACGGCGCTCATATACAACATGGTGATCTCAACAGAGAAAACTAAAGCGATAGTGATATCAGCCGAACCGAGACGATGGAAAATAAACTAGTCGTAAATAACAAAATAATAGAACAAGTGATGGAAACTGAATACTTGGGAATAAAACTGTCAAGCTGCGGAAAAGTGGAAGAAGTACAAAAACAAGTGAACATGAACAGAGCAGCAGGATGTCTCAACAACACAATCTGGAGAAAAAATGAAAAAAGAGCAGATACGGCGAAAACACAAAGACTGCTGGAAACAACAGAAATGAAAGTCTTACGAAAAATAACAAACCAAACTCTAAGAGACAGAGTAAGAAGTGAGGAAATACGAGCGAGATGTGGTATAGAGGAAATAAATGCGTGGACCAAAAGAAGAAAAGTGGAATGGAATCAACACATCGAAAGAATGACAGAAAATAGAATAGTACGAATAGCAAGAGACAAATCGCCAAATGGAAGATTGGGACGACCGAGCAAAAGATGTCAGACAACGTCAATTGAGGCTAAAAACCAAAGTAAAACATGCATTAAGCCTATTTATAAAGTAGGAAGAAGAAAAAGAAGACAGACAATAATAGCTTAAAAACACAATATTAAGAAATAATAACTGTTTTAATTTTCAAAAAACAAAATGGCTCCTAGCCGATGGCTTCGCATCGATAGGCAGCGAATGTGTTAAAAACCCTCACATGCATTTTTAGGTTTAAAACAATAAATAATTATTTACTGTGTAAGAAAACCGATAAATAGTAAGATATAATTAGTAGTTACTATGATCCCATTCCATAAAATGTTAAATTTCCATCCGATAAATTAGTAAACTAATAGCCCAGGGAAATAAGCATTTTTTCATGACACTCGTCCGGCCAGGCAAACGACAGTTGTTTTGAGTAGTGTGGACCTCTGTAACAAAAACCTATATGTTTCCTGCAGTTGAATTTTTGTACTAAATTAGTTATTAACAAATTAAGTTCAAAAAACGGAAAATTTTTGCTTTTTGCGTCTATCAGCAAAAAGTGATGCAATTTAAACAAATTTTAGAAAAGAAGAAACTTATAAGTTATATAAAAATCTTCAAAATGGCGTTCTCAAAATGTTCCTATCCTTATTTTTTGTTTAGAAAGTTGCAAAATAAGTCAAAAATTTTGGTTTTTTATAAATGTTAATAACTTTTTTGAAAATAAACTTATAATATTTATATTTCAAGGAATGATGTGTCTTGTAGTGCTTAAAATAGGGTTAAAATTTCAAAGTGATCGGCCCAATAGTTTAAAAGTTATTTTATTTGTTTATCCCAAATTAACATTTTTTGCAACAATATAAGTCAGAAATTTATACAGTTTTAGAAATTGTAAGGGTTGTTTCTGGAAGAAGAAGACTTGTTTTATTATTTACATTAAAAAAAATAAGGAAAATTAATTTTAAATATTGCAAAATAATTTTGCAACAACATGTCGATTTTTTGCTTATAAACAATTAGAATAACTTTTTAACCAT